AAACATTTTTACTGAAAAATAAATTATCCTTATGATAACTGTATAGGCTAATAAGACTAAATTTTGAGCACCCAATTGAATCACTGATGAATGTGAGTCAAATGTTATCCCTGGTATAGTTGTTAGCTCACTAATGAGCATCATTTTTATACTCACTAATGAGCATCATTTTTATATTTTACCTCTTTTAGTACTCTTCAAGACAAGTCAAATATCATCATGTTCCAATGTTTACCCTTTATATAAAAGAATTTTTTATGTAGCGTTCTTCTTTGTGGGATGATTATTTTTAGCATAATTATAAGATTGAATGCTAATTTTGGTCTTTCAACTTTATTGAGTTGCACTTTTTTGGTTCCTAAACTATTTTTTGCACTTTTTTGATCCTTTAACTCTAAGAACTACACCATTTTGGTTTTTTGTCAATTTAAGCCGTTAACCTTGTCTATGTGGCATTTTTTATATTGTTTTGATGACATAGATAATCCAACTGGAAAAAAATGATGACATAGATCATCCACTTAGAAAAAATGATGACATGAATAAATAAAATACCACATCATATTAATTTTTATATTTTTAATAAAAATAAAAAAAACCTCTTGACCTATCTTCTTCCCCCTCTTTCTTTCTCTTTCTTCCTCCTCTTGCTGCTACCTCCTCTGCTGACCAAACCTAGCAAAGCTAGGATCCACTGAGCCTTCTCCCCCCTCTTGCTTTCTCAAAACCAAATCAAAACCTTGAAAATTCATACTACTTCAATCCAACTTAATGATCATATACTCACAAGAGAAATAGCCAAACTAAAACATACAAACAAAATTTTGCAGCATTAATAATACTAAATTACCATCCCACAACCACAATATTTGAAACAAAATCCATCAAAACAAAGGGTTCAATATATGCATAGAAATTGCTAGAGTTACTAAACAAAAAAAATCTATAAACATGGGTTTGAAAACTTAGAAATTCGGGTTCCTTGAACCCATGTTGCTAGGTTCCACGGAACCTAGCACTGGGTTCATTTAACGCAGATCGTTGGGTTCTGTGGAACCCAGAACTGGGTTCAAATGAACCCAGTAGCCAAAGGAGGAAGAAAGAAAGAGGGGGAAGAAGGTTCGGTGGGTCGCAATAGGAGGAGGAAAAAAGAGAAAGCAAGAGGGGGAAGAAGAGAAAAAAGGGGGAGAAGGTTTAATGGATCCTAGCTTTGCTGGGTTTGATCAACAGAGGAGGTAACAGCAGGAGGAGGAAGAAAGAGAAAGAAAGAAGGGGAAGATAGGTCGAGAGGTTTTTTTTATATTAAAAATATAAAGATTTATCTAATGTGGTACTTTATTTATTTATGTCATCATTTTTTCTAGTTGGATGATCCATGTCATCATTTTTTTTCAGTTGGATTATCCATGTCATCAAAAAATATAAAAAAATGCCACATGGACGGAGTTAACAGCCTAAACTGATAGAAGAATCAAAATTGTGTAGTTCTTAGAGTTTAGGGATAAAAAAAGTGCAAAAAATAGTTTAAAGACAAAAAAGTGCAACTCAATAAAGTTGAAGGACCAAAATTAGCATTTAACTTAATTATAAACTTAACCATCTTAATTGGGTATTTAGAATGCATGGGTGAACTCTACAAAAAAATCTTGATACTTATCTTGATCCTACACCAATAAGATTTATTTTGCTTGTGGGCATTATTTTGATTCTTTATATAAGCTATGTATAATTGATTCCATATACCTAGGTTCT